AGGAGGATTTGGTTGAAGAAGGACTGATCCAGCATTAGTCATAGTGTCAGCAAAGTCACTACCCATGATTTCACAATGACTTGGAATCCTCTGCAGAGTAACATTGCGACTATTGTTTATTAGAAAATTTATCTCAAGCTTGCAATTAAGAACAGACCCATTGTTTGAAAGTATGACTGAAGAAATTGCTTTAATAGTAACCTGTGAATCAATAAATATCACAATCTTCTGATCATCTCTTTTTACTGATTTCAGTCAAGGCCAGTTGGACAGCAGCCACTTCAGCATCACAGTTGGTACAATTTTCGCCAACAAAGCCCCTCTTAAGCTAATGTGTCGAGAGAAAATTCCCATACCAGCATTACTATTATCACCCATAGTAGAACCATCAGTGTGCACATGCAACCAATGTGTTGTTGGAAATCTTTCTCCAGTGGCAGCCATCCTCTCTGTCGTTGTAGGACTTTTTACTGACCCTCAGAACCAAGTCTAAACTATAATTTGCTGAGTTCAAATGTCTTAGAGTCAGCAGTCTTAAGTAGTGGCTTTCTGTTAAAAGAAGGGCTATGAAAAAATCAAACAGTTTATTTGTCACATGTAAAAAGGTAGATTTTAAACCTATGCTCTACAGGATTATACAGCTCTCAGAAATCACCACACCTCATCAGTCTCACGACCTACTTTAGAGGGTTTATTTTCCTTAGATAAGTCAGAAGCTCAATATATGTTTGCAGTTGCCTGACCTGGATAGAAATATAGGATGCTACGCCAGTGATGATTATCAGGGCATTATTTTTTGTAGTTTTAACCCTGTTCTCTATTGACTCAGAAGCAGTTATGATAAATTCACCACCATATTTGACAGTAGGCCTAATATAAGATTTATAAGTGGTACAGAGTAGATCTTGGGTAGTACCCCACTTTACACTGGTAAGCCATTTAAGCACTCTATTTCTCATGTTGCCTATACCCAGTATCATGTTGACCTGTTTGTTCCAGCTTAGCCTGGAATCCAAAACAGTTCCCAGCTAAGTAGCCTCTTGAGTCCTATGGACCTGTTGGTCTCCATAAAATAGCTCTGTCTCTTTAGGTTTGGTACTGAGGGTAAAAACCTGAAAGGATGTCTTACTCATATTTATAATCATTTCATTGTTTTTTGACTTGGTCAAAAGGGCATCAACGGTAATAATATGGATGTGCCGGTCAGCAGACCACAAAAGAAGGTCGTCAGCAAAGAGAAAGGTCTGCATCCCAGCATGTAAATACATAAGATAGTGAACAATATCATTGATCATGATGTCAGGACTCGGGACTGAAACCTGAAGAAGCCCTTGTCTAGTTTGTCCATAGGCAAAGACAGAGCACCTGTGGAAGAGGCTCCCATGCCTATCTGCTCGAAGCAATCATACATGGTTAAAAATGCCTCAAGCTCCAGAGGCTGGCCGAGGAAGTGCCCCCACTCAGTCAACCCAGGGGGACATAAAATGTCACACAGTCTGGGAATATAAATCTCAATGTTTAAAACACAAAGTCAGTGCTCATAGTTAGACATTGACCCCCTCCAGTGTTGACCAAGGGGAGCCCATCCCCCGAGGAGAACCTTTGATATCTCACCATATAACATCCCCACAACCAAGTTGCAGACAAGACAGTACCAGCATGATCCCTGCTGAGCCTGAACCTACCATCGAATAAACGATGGTTCTAGTCGCTGTGAAGACAGTTTATTTACCCCAGAATTTGAGGCTGTGTAGATATTGATCTAGCCAGTATACTGAGATTGCCAGTCTCAGTTGACCCTTAGGAATGGTCATCCAAACCAGCGGGGCCATGAGGAGGCTTATGTTGGATTAAGGCAGAAGAGGCTATAAGGTGCGTGTCACTGCCTCGTAGCTATACCCACTCTCAAAAGGTCCCAATCAAATGCTTTGTCTCCTCCCATAAAATGGTTGTTCTGGCAATCCGATCCTTCCCAACCTCAAGGGAGCACAACTACTCGCACCATAAGCAGAGATAGCTGATCCAAATTTATTTTCGCAAATACCAATATCGATTCATTTTCTGAAAGGCCTTTTCTCCATACTCTGTACTCTGTCAAAGGCTGTTTGGAATTTGTCCAACACTGCTATAATGCTCTTTTTAAAATAGAACCCATCTGTTATTTTCTGTATCTGTTGAATAGCTGCTATCTGCTCAGTAGTATTTCTAGATTTCTTAAAATTGGTCTGTCTATCAAAAATACAACATAATTTCTCAACATAGTGATTGAGTCTATTTACAATGAGGCGTTCAGTCTGTTTACACATTACACTAGTAGGTGATATGGAATGAAAGCCAGTCAAAAGACATGGGTCTTTCCAGTTTTGAGAATAAGTTATGCCACATACTGGTAATACCTGTAGTGCAAGTGCGGTTAATAAGTCTGAGTAAGACTTCCATAGACTTTTTACCAATATTAATGAGAAACTGTGGTAGGATTCCATCCAGACTTGCACTCTTTTTCTGTGGCAATAACTTAATGCCACATTTGACTTCCCATTCAGAAAAAGGTGAATTAAAAATGTCATCCATTTCTTGAGTAAGGCAAGTCTGTGGGCAAGTAAGAAGATCCCTTGGATTTTAGCAAAAGGATAATAATTACTTACTGTAGCATAGTGAGCATTAAAAGTACCAACTTTCTCAGTTGTTAGAAACTTATCTGCAAACATGACGGGCTCATTTCTTTTCTCTTTTTAATTATTGAGTCTAGATAATGTTCTTGGGGCATCTTTGAGAAAGTCAAGACCCTCTAAAAATCAATAGGGATCTGCAGATCTTGGTTCCAAAAAAGAGAATACTTTTTCCTTTGACGTCTTGGTATGTACTCAGTCGCACAAGCCAAGACTACCAGCAAAATTTCCTTTGGCTCTGGCAATGTTACCTGACACAAATGATTGCATCATCAAACAATCAGTTAGCTCTTGATATCAGGACCTTTTTTTTTTTTTTTTTTTTCCAGGTTCCAATAGGGGAAACAGCTTTTTGTACTCACTGAAACCAAAGTTAAGCTCAGCCACAAGCATTTTATGTCTTACTCCACCTGGCACATGTAGGAGCGTGTATATAATATTAAATAAATCAGGATGTGATGTTGCACCCCCAAATGACCAAAAGATAGGTGAACTGACATGATTCTCAGCAAATTCAGTAGGGGCTGAGTCAATAAAATTTTCAACTGGATCATTAAAACTATAGCCCCATCTCTGCAAGTGTGCGTTAAAGTCTCCTAAAATCAAGGAGTGCCAGTTTCATCCATCAAGCAAGCATTCTAAATTAGGATGGTTATTTGGAGGATTATACAGAAAAAACGCTAATGTAGACCTCCTCTCCAAGCATTGATCTCAACAGCTTTCAATTTGTCAGAGTTAGTCATTGTATGTCTAACACTCATACTTGCAGTAAAAGAATCCTTAACCTTCCAGCACGCGCGCGTGGGAATTTTACATGAGCACACGCGTGTCATATTTTTTACGACATCTGTTATATTACTGTTTTTGGTATGAAAAATGACAGAAATGAGTGAATATTGATAATTTGTTAAAACATAAAATATTAACCTTATTACTGCAAAATACAAATGATGTCACATTAAATGATAGTATTTGTTTTTTAACTTTCAAAATCAGTCAGTGGAAAGCAATGATGTATTTCATTATAAAAATTTAAACATTATTATTTAATAACTAATCTTAAAACAAGTATTTTAATATTCATCTGCCCTGTTCTGTTGATTTATCATTGAATCGAAGACAACTTATCAGAAATAAAAATCTCTTGTAGGTCATTACAGCTCTTGTTATTTCAATTCCAGTGCCATCACTTGAAAACAATTCTTTTGTATTTACGTGGTGTCCCTTTTTTTTTATTCCTATCATATATAACAATTCAAATTAGCCCATCATTTCCACTCAGGTAACAGTGCTATTATTCTCACATTTCAACAATGCCCATCAAGTCAATATTCTGATTGAAAATAGTAAATTTCAGTTCAGTGAACTTGTCAGAAGTAAGATCATCAGCATTTCAAAAGAGCACTCTTAACACCAGTTATGGTTGATCCTTGAAAAAGCCTAAAGAAGACGGCAGCAAAATATGCTTGTTTCTAAAAGCTGTTGAAGGCTTCACGGTGCGACAAATGTCAGTCATTTAGCAAAAACAAAGAGCACCATGAGTAAACAACTTACTCCCCCCCCAAATTATGTAATTAGATTTGTTTGATGATATATCAAATGTTGCATTGACCTCCAAAGAGATGACACTTGATATACATATTTAAGTTAAAAATAGTGCACTAAATAATGATTGAATAATGATTGGAACTGCTAAGACTACAAGAATCACCATAATGTTCATAAATTTGCAGGACTAATTTTGAAAGTTCTACATTTAAACCTTCAAAACTAATCTTGCAGATTTTATTACTCAATCGTATGCAATGAATATTTGATGAAGTGTTTTTCCAAATATTTTTGAAAGCATCAATTAAAATTAATGATTTATCTGAATTTGACAAGCAGTAAGATAACAGTTTGCGTTTTTTGTGTTTGTGTAGCCAATGATAATTATTTCTATGGTTAAAAAAGTATAAACACTAAATCAGTTTGCAAAAGAGTTCTATACTTTTTATGTATTTGCTTTTATGCGGTTGTGGTTTCTTTATGTCTATATGTGTAATAAATGTATGTTCTTAGATTTGGAAAAAACTTGTTTTTTGTACATTTAAAAATTTTTTTTAATATTGCAATAGATTCAAAACTGAAGGCAAATAGGGAGGGGAAAGTAATCAAAAATTTGTCTTGACAAAAAAATTAACATTAACTTCAAAATTTCTGCATTTTGGTATTCAATTTGTCTTATCTAAGTTTATATATAATCTTTTCTTTCTTAGTTTCTGTAAATTTTTAATTAACTCAAAATTTTAAAAATTTTAATTTTTCTTACTTTTTTTCCCAATATTTTAGATTTTAGCTCTTGGAAATCAAGTTGGACGAGCATATGTATGGGACTTGGATGTTGATGATCCCGGCACTGCTAGGTTTGTAATTGAAAAATTATTAGATCATTAATATTTTTTTATTTTTAAGTAATATTTGTGAAACTTTTAAATATAAAAAGTAATCCAAAAAATATAAATGTTTTCAAAAAAATTTGAAGGGGGGAAAGGGTTACAGTTGTATGCAATTGACATGAAATTAAATCATGATGGGTCGTTTGGAGGGAAGGTTAATTTAAATATTTATTAATTTATGGTGTCTCTTATTGAATAATCAGAATAGTATTAAATAACTTCTGTTGGTGAATGAGTAATATGTAATAGTATCTTTCATCTGAATAAAATGTTTTCAGTATTATTCTGTGTTACTGTTGGTATGGTGCAGTACTATCTATAACTAAATTTTTTTTTTAGTAGACAAAATTTCAACTCCATCCCTGATTATGATTTATTTTCATTTAACCATGTTCCTTTACATAAGTCTGTTTGATTTTTGTAATTTTTTAAAATCTGTGTGGACTGTAAGACAAATATTCACATACAGATTAACGTCTTTAAACTGTCACCTGAACAACAGATCACTCCATGTATTGCATCACTATTTAAAAGTTCCAGAATATCTGAATTATTCATCATATTCAGTCTTTGTTACCTAGCTCAATTCAGAGAGCAATTGTGCCTATTATGTCATTTTGAATTTAAAATTTGATGCTAATACTGTTTTCCTTTTTGCCAAAGCTACGTTGGTGGGAAAAATTAAAGAAACAACTATAAAGACTTATGTAACTTGAAGGAATTTGCAACCACAATCACGGAATTAGCAGAAGATTTTTATTTTGCCATACTGATTAAACCTCAAAATGCAAAACTGTTTATTTCTGCAAAAAATCAATTTAAATAAGAACATAAAATATGTGAGCTGAGTGTTAAAAAGTTGGTGACCCCTGACCAGATTGCAAGTTTTACAGTGATTTAGAATGCTGTGTATTAGATTGCTGATGGGTTCCTGCAGTAACAAAGTGTATTCATGATGAAAAGCTCCTAGAAGGTGCTCAATGAGGGCTTCGGTGATGCAAGTTGGCAACCTAGTGTCTCCCATACATGTTCTGTCAGGTTTAAATACAGGGAATATGCAGGCTGTTCTATTCACTCGATTCCTTCACTCTCAAGGTAATCGCAGAGAGATCCAATGCAATGGAAAAGAACATTCTAATTCATTAGGAGAAAGTTATTACCAGTTGCACACCTAAACAAAATGATATAAGGATCAAGAACCTCATCTCTGTGTTTTTAGCATTCATGTGCAGGTCAGTGTAGCCATTCAAAATAGTACCCACTCATGTTTAGATTCCACTATATAGCAATGGCTTTCATAGATGTTTGTAGGCTCATTTCAAATCTTTTGCACACTCCAAATTGTAACATGCCTGGAATCACTCTCAAACAAAAATAAAAGGAGAAGGAGTTGTCCGATGGAGACAAAAATTTGTAGATAGGAAGAAAATTTCAGAACATTTGATTTATTTATTTTAGAGTTACATAGTTACAAAGTAATGAGCTCAATAAGGTGTTGATCCACCTCTAGCCTAGATGTAAATTGCCACACAATGTGGCATAGACTGGTGAAGCTCCTGGATGGTTTCCTGTGGTATTTCTTAACAAATTTGCTCCAAATGTCAGGCTACATTCCCTGGTAGATGCAGTCACATTCATCATATCCCAGTCATGCTTGATGGAAGAGAAAGCTGACAATCTGGCTGGCCAAAGAAGTGTCTGACAAGCTGTAAGACAGTTCATAGCAACACGTTCCGTATGTGGTTTGGTATTATCTTGCTTAAATATAAGGCCAGGTACTGCAAAAAGAACAGTAGCAAAACAGGTCTCAGAATATCGTCAATGTACCTCTGTGTGATAAGTGTGTCTCTAATGACGACCAAAGGGGTCCAGCTGTTAAGAGAAATGGCACCCACCATAACTGCTGATTGAGGTCCTGTGCAATAGTGAAAGCGGGATTGGCACGCTGCTCTAGACATCTCCAGATACATCTTCGATGATCGTCACGACACAGTTGGAAGTGGGAATCGTCACTAAAGATTATGAATCCTCCCTCAGCATCATTCCATCCTGATAGAGCCAAGCACCACTGTAATCTGGTTCAACAGTGTGCAGGCATGAGTGGCAGGTGGCATAAAGGTCAGTGCGAAAGTAGATTTCTCTCTGTCAGCCATTTGCGAATGGTCATGGTGGACACTTGTGTGCGGGTCGCACATCTGATGGTTGATAGCGATGAATCAGGCTCTGGGACAGCTTATCTGACAATCACTCTGTTCTCCCGATCTGTTGTGGCCCTAGGTCAAACGCTACCATCATGACGCTGAAATCTGCCATTATCCACCCATTCTTGCCAGCATCTTCTAATCGCCGCCATTGCTTCAACTCATGTGACGCACGATTTTCCAATTTGCCCAATGTGCCTCTTTTAATCCATGACCTCTTTCAAACTCTGACAGTTGTTCGAATCATGCGTCGAGGCATTTTTTCAGTTGTTGAAAGGTATCCTAAATCGCAGTGCAACAAATTTTTAACGACAGTTCAGCTCCTTATATACATCTGCTGGATGTGCATTTCCAATGCGCTGGGGAATGCACTATTCATTCATTGGACACTAAATTTTAATCATTTGCATATTTGGTCAAAACATGCAAATGAACGAAACATGCATACGAAATTTCAAAGCAATCGGATAATCCCTTTTTAATGCATCTTTTTTTTTTTTTTTTTTTGTTACACAGTGTATATCCTTTAAAATATTATGTAACTATAATTAGAAACATATAAATGTTTACTTTCACAGCATTTTAATTAAGAAAAAAAGCCTTCATAATTGATTGTAATTGTTACACAAAAAATAATTTATAAACTGTTTATGTTCATAATGTTTCTATAAATTATTTGATCAATACTGTCTATACCCCGAATCATAAAATATTGTCCCCTTCACCTTTTGTAGGTAATTCACTTATTTCATCATAATCTTCTTCAGAAAGTTTATCACCTGATGTGCTTAAATTTGTTTCTATAAGCATTTGGCAAATATCTTCTGTTGTAGCTAATGCAATACCTTAATGTTTTTCATCAGTATCCACCGAAAGATTTAATTCTCTCAATTCATATTAGTTAGAGAATTTGTTTTTAGTTGACTTTTTGCATTTTATCATTTATTGAAAGATCGACATGCTGAAAATCATTCTTTCTTCTCTTTTCTGAGATGCATTTGCAAGTTTTACAGTTCAGCATGAAGACATGTTTAGCAAATGTAGATCATTAAGAAGACTAGTTTGAATTGCTAATTGATTTGCTTATATCCATATCATCTGTGTTATAAAGGATTCTAACAATCATTTGAAGGCAATAATGTTCTTTCCTCATTCTAACAATCCTTGATCCTGACTGTGATATTTGCTGACAAATATAAACTTCAATATGCTTAAGAGCTGTAGGTACATTGTGTGCTATACAGTTGTCAATAAGAAGAAGGATATCATTCTATGTATCATTATCCTATTTCAAAAGCTATTCATTAAAAATTAATGATGTCATGCACGTCTTTGAATTATAATGCAGTGGTTAAATCTTAACACCTTACTGACATATATCTGTAATGTGGCAATTTCTGTATTCTATTTTGACCTTATTTATAATTTTATCTTTTATGTGATGATTTTACTTCAGCTTAAAAATTTCATTCTTTAACACTTTGTTGACATTAATTAACTGACTTGTTGATCACAGTAAGCAAAGTATTTTCCAGGTTATCATATACAAATGGGGTGGGGGGAGATTTCAGCAATTCGATAATAATAACCAAATAATTTTATTAACCATGATCATATTAAGTGACACCAACTGTATTCCGTGATCTCTGCACCGCTATATCTAGATGCATTTTGGTACCCAGAAAGTGTGTTGTATCATGTTTCTGACCTTTACCTGCATGTATCACCTATGTTTTTAAATTGTTTCGAGATTCTTGATGTATTGCTTTTAGCCCTTTACACACCTATGTCAGTGAATGTTTTGCCTCTGGATCAAATGTCATCTGGATGACATGTTCCACATATGAAAATTTATCCAACTACTTATACAGTCCTTGAAATTATAATTTAAAGTACCCCTTGCATTCTGTCCACACATGCTGAAAGAATGAGCATCTGTGTAAAATTTGCATATTTATGCGTAACATGATAATGTTGACTTTGAGCTACCAACCAATCACCTTTCATCAGACTTTAATTAATACAATTATTATAAAGCACTTTTTCTAAGTTTTTCATTTAATTTTTGCCACCAGTGTATTTAGCTTTTAAAACCTCTTCATTTAACAGGTTTAAGTAAATAAAGATACAAGGCCATAAGCTGATTATTTTTATATCCTTAATTCTCGTATACAATTTAACCAGTATTCTAAATTGCTATAAATGTAAGGATTGAATTTTAAACTTTAGAATCTTATTTTGTTTTATGAAAAATTTCCTGAAAGGTTATATATGGATATGTGTAAATCTATAACTGGACCTCTTTAAACCCTCAAGCTCCCAGAAAATAATAATTTTTAGTGTGGTAGATAGGAAGAGGTAATGTTTAGAGACATTTCTGTGATCTACAAAGCATGTTCTGACAGGTTATCCATTGTGGTAACAAATCTCAATATTGTATACTGCTGGGTTGACATTAAACAGTGATTACTATATAATTTTTTTTAAAAACTGTTTACGTGGAACCATGAGGGAAAAAGCTCAAATTTGCTCAAGGAAATACTAATAGTTTTTCATTAGAACAATGACAGGCTGCATGTTGCTGCTAGAGCATTGGTAGCACTCTTTGAAATTGATTTGAAGCACTAGATCACACTGGAATGTTGTCTGCCTGAATGTTGAATATATGTTAACACCAAAATACATTAGTTTATAGCCTGAACTTAGTGATTTACGAGGGCTATCCAGAAAGTAGATTACGTTTTGGAATAAAAAAATAAACAAAGT